GACTGTATAGTTAATGATTTAAAAATTGTCAAAGTTAAAATTTATAATAAAAACATAATAAGTGGACTCAAACTTTTAGAAGCAACCATATCTCTAAAAATAAAGGTTTCTAATAAATAATAAGTTTGAATAAGTTTCTTAAATAATTAAAAAAAAAATCTTAATAAGAATATCAATTTATAAAAAAAATATTGAATTTTTAAAGAATATTAAAAATTTTTTTACTTTTATTTTTTTTTCTGATATATAGTATAATGTACTGTATATTTATACACAATAATCAATTATTAATATTTCAAATAATCATCTGAATTCAATAAACCACGTGATCTTATAACATAGCACCGTATGGTCACGTAAGAATCGATGGACGGCAAAGCTCTATATCAAACGCTTAACAGAATATTGGACAGTCATCCATTGTATGAGCTTTCACATACGATCAATTTTGAGCGAAAAAACATGATTAATATACGCGCAATATTACTTTCAGGAAAGAAATAGATCTACTGCCGTATAAGAGTGCCGAGATAAATAATGAGTTCTATCCATTCCTTTTGGTTGGGCCAAATCTCGGAATACCTTTAGAGTTTGTACACGAAATATTTAAAACCGCTCATGGAATTTTCATGAAAGTCCGTCAAAATCATGTACAAAAAAGTTCCGAAGTCATTTCTAACGGAGATTCCATTGAACTTTTGCAAAAATCCACAAGATGCTTGATGTTACTGAATCCAGATTTTTACAGTGCCACCAACACAAGGTTGAATACTTGTTATTTGTAACCATCGCCAGATTATTTATTAACAACTACGATTACATATCCAGAAAAAAACTAATCGTAGATAATATTCTCGATCCGATCGCGGAACTAAAATTTCTGGATCTCATCCTTACATTTCCAAAGCACACGAAAAATTCTACGGTTTGGTATCATAGGTATCTAGCAGCTGTTTCTTGTTCGAATATAGTCGTAGGTCAAATCAGGTTAAATTTTTCTTTGTTATTGTGCAAAGGAAATGGATTATTTCAAAAGTTCAGTCATTAGATCATGTCGAACGCTTGACACGATGGAAGAACGAAATTCTTATTACCCAACGTGTCGCCGAGCTATATCCAAAGAATTACTACGCGTGGACCTACAGGCATTGGATCATTGCTCAGGTGCCACTTGACAATCTTGCATCCAAACTATTGTTAGACGAAGAACTGGAAAATATGAAGACGTGGATAGAAACAAACGTTTCAGATCATTCTGGATTTCACCATCGGCAAAGGTGCTTAATCAGGATGAGCCAATTGTACAATGCCAACGTAATTGATTTTTATGGGGTTTCAAGAAAAGACTTGTTGGGAATGGTCACCACTAAAAGAACGAAAACCACAGGAATAGACGAATCTTTGGCAGTTTTATGGATTGAAGAAATCCAAATAACCAGAGATTTAATAATGAGATATCCTGGCCACGAAACGTTGTGGAATCATTTAAGATTTCTTTCTTTTGCTTGGAGATGGTTGAATATAATAGATTATATTCACCATCCCGAAGATTCCGATGTCAGATCAGGTGAGAATGAGCAGATAAATGCGTGGCCCGAGGATCAAAACGAATTTGAATTTGCAAGAGGTTGTATTCAACAAGTCGACTCACTGCAACCTGATGATGAGAAACCCGAAATTTTTGATAACTTGGTAAAACAAAAAAGATACGCCTCGAGTTATGAACTATGGATTTCAGAACTGGTGAGCAAAATTAAGAAAAACCTGAAACCCTTCAAAGATTAAAATCTAAAATTTTTTCTCGTGTTTCTTTTGAATATTTAATTTAGTATTGTATTTCAAATCGTGATGTTAAATCTCTAGTTTCGAAACTTGCAGAAATTTCACCTGAATCTAATTACTATGTATCTCGAAAAATTGCAATTCCAAAATAATAATAATAATAAAGCTGATTGATTATGTGTAATGAATAATTATTTCGCTTGAAATAATCTTTGTCCTCTTTTGCCTTTTATTTATACTAACGATGGCTTTTGACTAAAATATGCAACAATATCCACCATAATGCCCTCCCTATATCTCAAATAAGATACAAGTCAAATTAAAGTTCTTTGAATAGTCTGGTGATTATAAAAAAAATTGTGCGAAGAAAAATGGAGCGCAACCTCGAAAGATAAAAAAACAGTCAAACCATTATTTCTCAATTCGGGTGTAAAAAAACGAACACCTAACGCCATTTTCAATACTTATAGAATGGGTGAGGCCCTGTTGCTTCTGATGATTTTTTTTTTTTTTTTTTTCTCCTTAGGATACAAAACTGACATGTGGAACATTCATTCTTCGCGATCGTTAATATTGTCGTTATCTAGGACGTATGGTTTAGCATCATCATCACTTCCTTGACGATTGGCAAGTCTATTTTGACTTCGACTGCTCCTCCTTCTCCTACTGGTTGACCTGGATGCTAACCTTTTACTAACAGCTACTCCGTCGTCGTCATAATCATCTTTTTCAACGGATTTCTCAGGGTCGGAAGAGGAATTTCTACTCATAGGCTTTGGTGTGGTTGAACGGCCCCTTCTCGGAGTCGGAGTCGTGATATCATTTAGTCCACTATTGCCCATGCTAAATGTATCCCCATTGCTGCTGTTAATATTATTGGTTCCATTAGAAATACTGGAAATACTCGGTAGGACGTCAAGGGAGGTGATACCATTGCGTTGGCTTCTCCGAGAAGGATTGAAATGATTGCATTTTTTGCAAAAATATTGGACATCTTCAAATTCCGTAGGAAACGCCAACCCATTCCAGGTGAAACAGTTCTGACAAATCAAAGCATACTTTTGTTCATCTTCACCGACGAGCACGTCCACTAATTTATCGTACCAATGTCGTTGGACAGGTGTTATTGAATTTGGAGAATAATTGTTTGGGCGCGAAGCATCATTCCCGCTAAGTGGTGTCATATCGGCTTTCTCTCCCTTGACTTCCCTTGATGTAAGTATTGCTTGAGGATTGGGCGATAAAGGTTGCCTCATGTTAGGATTGACCGGCTGAACCGGCCTTGGAACAAGTCCTTTCTGTCCTTGCGGTAGAGGTAAATTCGGTTGATGTGTTTCTTTAGGGGAATCGTAACGCTCCAACAAGTTCTTTGTAATATAATAAGCCGTCTTCTTCTTTAACTCCTCAATTTTGAGCTTTTGTTTTGCTTTAAGTTGTTCAAGTTGGGCTTGTTCATTAGCCTCTTTCCGTCTATACCATAAAGTCTCAAATTTATAACCAATCACTATGAGAAAGGGACCTGTGAATACAGGTGCCAATTTCAATAAGTCCCAACCTTCTTCTTCGGTAGACATATATACAAAATACCAATAACCTGCTACATAAGTGACATAGGCTATTAATGAGTATACGATCAAAATTATCAATGCATTGCGTTCTCTAATTCTTATTTCGCGAAGGCGAATCTCGGCTCTGCGAATTTTTTCGTCGAGCTCAGACAAGATTTTTTCATAATTGTCCTCTGCCTTTGGTTGAAATCGTGAAAACACGGCACCCATTCTAACTTGACACAAATATGAAGTATGTTCAAGAGCTTTGTCAGACTTTTTAAGAGATTATCTAGACTATTAAATCAAAATGGTTAGAAAAATCGCGAAAAGGGGAAGAAGTAGGAAGGTCGGTCGTTCATTGAAAATGAAATATCATCCGAACCTATAGGCGCTCTTATAAGAGGCTCGTAACAACAAGATGATGGTTGAAAAAATTCCAAATTTAGTAAGATTGTGATTCTACAGGTGACAGGGTTTTACCTTGTTGGTTATCGATTTGCAGGCAACAATTCTGCGTACGTAGAAACGAGCGAAAAATTTTTTGCAACCTATGTAGACACGTAATTGGACTAGCTGACTATCATTTTTTTTTTTAAATGATAATGTAACTCCACACAATTGATTGTGGATAATTTATGTGTGATAAAGAAACTGGTCAAAATGATGCGTCATTGCAGGACCATAAGGTCGGCTTACGTGGCATCCAAAAATACTTTCCACGTGATGATACATAAAATAATTTATTGGTCCATATAATGTTTACAAATATTCAATATTCATATACAGTGTTATCATGTGGTGATATTGTAAACCTGAAACAAATAAGAAATCGAAGAATTAGTTCAAAAATGAATTACTTAATTATCTTTGAAGAGAGAGTCAAATAGTGAATCGATATCAGCAGCTATTTTATATCCTGCAGGAAAAAAGGAAGAGATCCGACAATGTCCGGTTGGGGGACGGTCGGATAACAAATCCCCATCGTGATCGACCGACAGGGTCAACCATTTACATCAGAGAGAACCCCCAAAGAAAAGGTTCCCCGATGGTCTCACACAATGTAATTCCCAATCATCGAATGGATGTAGTTGTCATCATTACGATACTGTCGATTGCTAAAATTACATTACCTACCAATTCTGATAAAAAAAAATAAAAAATAAATAAAATAAAAATAAAATGAAATAGAATAAAAATTAGTAAATAATAGTGAAAATGGATTTCATCAATTGCAACAATATTACGATCAGTATCAAGAAAATCTAATCACGAGATAATTCATTTGAAACACGGATTTGATGAAGACATCATAAATAGACAAAGAATGTGAATATGCAAATGAACACATACCGATAGCTCGCATGCAATCTCGAAGTGCACATAAGGTGCTTTTCCCTCTACAGAATTTTAATAATGAATTTTAGAATATTGTCGAAAAGGTCTTTTCTTTTTTTTTTTTTTGTCTATTGCGTAGGCATCAGGAAATAATTTCATAATTTGCTTTCTTTCATGTATTTCAGAAGCAGAACTGGTTGAAATCGCTTTCATCACACTGAAATTCTCAACAGGGATCCATTTAAATTCAATAAATACCTTCAATCGCGAGGACCAAAATAACTTTACGACCTGAACCCGTTAATAAAAAAAAAAAAAAAAAATTTTTTTTTTTAAACTTTACTAATTTATCATAACCAAGTTAATACTAAATTAATAAAAAAGTAATATTCAGATGGTAGTGCATGTATTAAGTCTCTTGGCTCATTATTGTAAAAAAAAATCACCGAGAAATTTGGATAGGTATCATCAAAAATAAATATATGGGAAGTATATTGGCAATAAAAATTTTTTGTTAATTTCTTACCTCCAAAGATTTTAAGGAAAAAAAGGAGTAGGAGTGCGTACACTATTTTAAGACGCCCACCTTATATTACGTAATAAATTTACATTAGATAAATTACGTAATACCGGCATAATTGTTTCGTCTTTAGATAGAATTTGACTACAAAATGGCATTGAACTGGGCAATGATTGCGTCCGATGGGAGGAGTCCCGTCCCTCTTCCTGGAGAGAAAATTCTTTTCAGGTAATCGACTAACGTCATGTTGCCGGTTTTGATTAAAACTCTTTTAATTTTTATTAAAAAAAAAAAAAAAAAAATATATATATATATATATATATATATACTAGTCAAGAAAAAGTCGTTTTTGAATTAGATCTGGGCGGGTAATGCTAATATTATCTATAATATTAAACCGAAAGTTACACGCGATTGATATGAATGCACGTTTCCAGCGGATATCCAGGAAATCCAGGAACCTACAAAGCCGATGGAAGTATTTTTGCTACAAATCAACGGGTGAGTTTTTTCAACCTTGCTTATTTTTATAATTACACCTCGATTACTTGAATTTAATTAACCAGTTTATCGAACGTTCCTTTGGATCGCAAGATCATATTCATCTCTCAACCACCTCTACCCCATTTCAAATCACTAAGCATACCCATTTTAAATATGAAAGAAGGAAAACTTCAACAACCCTGGTTCGGGGCCAATTATTATCAAGCTTTTATTATTCCAGTGAGCATAATTCTATTCACTCAATGCAACCTCAATTTTATCTTACGGAATTAATGTAACCATCTGCTAAAGGTCCCGAGTGGCGGGCTTCCATCTCCAGGTCAAATGAAGGTTACTTTCAAAGAAGGCGGTAATAAATTATTCGGACAAATATTCGGATCTTGGGAGTGTTAAAATTTGGTTATTCAACATTAATTAATGCATTCTATCACGAACAAAAAGGCGGTTTCGATTTTAGCACCTGCTATAACGAATTAATATTAAGAATGACAGGTTAGAACAGTGACAATTCTTTATCACCATTTGATATCATTTTTTAAAAAATTCTATGATCTCCTAAAATAGAGACCGAAGGTGCTGCTGTCGAACACGTAGAACCTTTGCCGATTTACACACCGCAAGAGAATTCTTCAACTTCGTCAACATCGCAGACTCCCTCCTTTACCACTGGTGCAACTTCATCTCTTAATCCTACAGCTGTAACGTCGCCCCCTGCTCCTATAGCAACAGTAGCATCTACTTCAACAACAGCAGCACCACCACCAGTATCTCCCGACGAATTGCCACCCAGTTATGATGAGGCAATTAATCCATGATTGTCACTAACCTAACTTACTTCTTACATCCTGATACACACCAAATAAGTAAATTTGTGCATTTATTTCTTCTCTAGTCACGTAAAATAGTGATTTTTTTTTATTGCTTGTATATTATAATGATATTTAACATTTGGATGTGCTTTAAGATGGGTTAAACTCTTTTTAGTCAACTTCGAAATAATTCCGCCGTCAAGATTATAATGATTTGAGATATCGAATAATCGAAATTATTTCATCTCATCTATAAAGCATGATAATCTGTCCGATGTTGACAATTATTCAGCCTTGATTTCGCACATGAATTCATTATACATGAAATGTTAGCTAGAGATTGAGTCATCTTTCATGAGGATTTCCGAATTTCTAACAAGAAAATACTTTGCAATGAAGCGGAGTAGGCAGCTTTATCCAAGTGGTCACTTAAAAGGTCATTTCCTTTCTTTGAATCTTTTTCTAAAGGATTTGTTTCATCATCTTCACTAGTGTCCGTGGATTCTCTTCCTTCATTGATCGATTCATCCTTGTCATCAAATGCAAAGCTCAAACTAGTGGCATATTTATCATAATCAAAGTCGAACGATTTAAGAGGTATTTGACGAGACTCGAGCTTCCACTTATCCAGAAGATATTGGATGGAACGTTTTGAACTTTAAATAAATATTAAATGAATGAATAATTAAATAACATGTGAGGTAATTTTTCACATTTGATAAAGTGCGAATTATACCTTCGCTCTTGGTATGAAGTTATAAACCTTGCATTCGGTGAGTGATAGGTTAATATATAAGCGACGGTTACAATAAGATCCTCAAAATCTAATATTCAAGAAGGCGTACGATCATTGTTAATCCACTGCGCTCAAACATTAATGTGAAGGATTTGGACATTTGTTACACCTTTTGGATCATAAAATGTGTCGCTACCCAAAATCCAATCCAACTTTTTTCCAGACTGTTCAATGTCACGTATCAATTTCAGCAGGCCCTCTTCGTGATCGTCATCACACTGAAGAAACATCTCTCCCCACTTTAACCCTCTTATCCAAACATTTTGTCGCAATGGTTTATTATCTCCCTCAGATTTGTGATTCTCGGTTGAATCTATTAGGCCGTTTAGCCGAGCTCCCTCGTGTATATTTTCGAGTATTTGTGGAACATCTGGCCTGTCGGTCAATATAACGTGCGTTTCAGGAGAAAGTGATGCACATAGAAATCCAGGTAATGAAGTTCCGGCGCCTATCTGGCAAAAATCGAGATTATTTGCCTCGCGGGTAATTTGAACAGTAATTCCAACGATGAATAGATATAGAAATTACTTCTATTATAGTTTTATCTCTAAATAGATTCCTCCGCGCCCAAATATATTCAGAGAGAACAAACGCTGAGGGCCATACATAGCATCCATATGCAGGGTCAAGTAGCTTAATAGGATTAGGCATTTTTTGAGTGAGATTTTGACGAGATCATAAGATTGCATGCAAATACGTACCTCCTTAACAAAAATCACCCGCCGTTCACTTTCATTATGAGCATCTTGACAAAAACGAAAAATTTTCGTCAGGTTCATTGTTACTGATGATGTTAACGGCGGTTAGATTAAATGACCTATTGATTACATAAACCATTCTGTGGCGTATTCACGATGACTGATTCGAACCTCTTTATATCACTCTTACAGTATATTCATAATAAAAAAAAGGTTCGTTATAATCAGGTTTAACTGTATAATTTATAATTAAATATTATATGATACCCATTTTTTTTTTTGTTTTTGTAATTACCCGCAGCCTATTTCAACTCTTCTAAAAAAAAGTATTGTTCTTTCAAAGTAAAGATTTCAAGAAATCTTTCATTTTGATAATTATTATGATTATTTTTGTAATGATAAGTATCATTGATGATTATGTTAATCTTTTTAATAAAGTTTTACACTAGTCAAAATTGTATACTTGATATATAAAATAAAAAATATGATAAATAATTACAAATTTAAATCAATAAAAATTTTTTTATATGATTAATTTTAAAATTTAATAAAATAGTATTAAAATTTGATAAATATTTGATAGTTAATAATTTTAATAAATTTTATAAAATTTATAAAATTGCTTAACTAAATTATTTTTTTATTTTTATTTTTATTTTTCTTTATTTTGCTTTTTTTTTTTATATTAATTTTAATTTGACTTTTTTAAAATTTACTTTAATTAGAATCAAAAATTTCAAAATCTCAAGATCTAATTAGCATACGTAAATCTTTATTGATGCACTAGTACAAAATTAAGGAACAATACAATATAACTTTACATAGCTTGTATAATCTATGGCTAAGATTATCTATATCTGAAATAATCTGATATCTCTTCTACTAAAAAATGGTAATCTTCCTTAAAACTACTTTATGTAAGAATCAATAAATCAATTATAATTATCATTAAATTTCATACAGAATTCACATATATATAAAGATATCTTCAACTCTAATAATCATGACACCTATTTTTTCTTTGAATCAAGTCAATTCTTCGATTCAAGAAAAAATTTCATGAGTGCAATTTCATGTTTATATAATTAAAAAAAAAAAAAAAAAAAAAGATCTGTAGCTCTATAGTACAGTGGTAGTGTTCCTAGATTACAATCACAAGGTCCAGAGTTCAATATCACACAAGGGCCATGTGAAAAAAATAATCAGGTTGCACGAGGATGGAACTTCTGACCTCCCTGTTAATCATCAGACTGAAAAGGATCTACCATGAAGATTGCATGAAGAAAAGTTTCTGGTCTGATTACATAAATTATATCCAATCTAACCTCCCTGAACTAGACAGAAAACAAATCCCAGGATCCTGCTTTTAGGACTGTGGTAATCGTCTGAACATATCACTAACCCCAAACTGTACCAGCAGACTCTGGGACTCCGCTTTTAGGACTGCAACAATCATCTGAACATTCTCTCTCCCAAACTATATTAGCAGAATCTGGAATCTGACTACTCTAACTTGAAAGATCCCAA